AAAAAGGAACACTTCTCCCCTCGTTTTAGAAGATCAACATTGTGCTAATACTAAAACTGGATAAAGATAATAGAAGAAAAAAGTATGAACATAGATAGAAATTTATTTAACAAAAAAACTATTAGGAGTCAGAGCTGGCAGGATGTAGAAAGTGGTTTTATTATAGGGATGGCAGTGTTGGTTCAGCATTAGAAGACCCCCAAAAGTCATCATTTTAACAGAGGAAAGTAAAAAGCCATATGATACTGTCAGTAGTTGGAGAAAAAGAATTGGACTAAATTCTACAGCTCTTGATGGTAAAAGCTATCAGGAGACTAGAAGTAGAACAGGACCTTCTCAACAGATAAGACATATACTCCATACTTCCAGCAAAAATGCCTCATATGAATGGAGAAGATACAATGCTTTCTCCCTAAGGTGGGGAACAAGGGCAGATATGCCCAGTCTTCATCTGTCCATTAAACTTTGAAACCTAGGCCCAAACCAAAATAGTCTGGCAATAAAATGACACAATTAGAATAGGATTGGCAAGGTAGAAATAAAATCTTTATATGTAGATGAAATGATCATCTACAGAGAAAATGCTAAGAAATCTCTAGGAGCCCCTAGAGCTTGTATTTGAATTTAGCAGGATTAGAAAATCCAAGGTATAGATATAAAAATTTAGGTCTATGTATACTTGCTATAAATGAAGAATTGGATATTGAAATTTAAAAGTTATGTAGGAGTGCAAAGGACCTAGAAAAGTAAAAAAGAAAAAAAACAGTGTTGGAAGATATTTAGTACCTAATATATTTTTACTTTTTTATTTTATTTTATTTTATTTTGGTATGGGGGATCAAACTTGGGTCCTTGCGCTTGCGCAGCAGGTGGCAAAACCACTGAGCTAATCCCTGACCCTTAGTACCTAATATTAAGACTTCCTCTAAAGCTACAGTAATCAAGGCAGTGTTGGTGTAAAGAAAGACATATAGATCTTTGGAATAAAACAGAGAATCTAGAAATAGAACCACATATATATGGTCCACTGAGTTTTGAAAGATTATTTAACAGTAATATTTTATAGAACATAAACTCAATTCAAGAGCAGAGGAAAAGATAGTGTTTTCAGCAAATGGCACTAGAACACCTGGTATCCATATACAAAAAATTAACCTCAACCCTTTACTTCCATACATAACAATAACTTGAAAGGATCTATGAACCTAAATATGAAAGACTAAAACTATAAAACTTTAAGAAGAAATTTTAAGGAGAAACGTTTATGAATTTAGAGTAGGCAAGAATTTCCTAGGATACAGAAAACATGATGCATAAAAGAAAAAAATTGATAAATGAGATTCCATCAAAATTTAGAACTTTAAATGACATCGTTAGAAAATGAAAAATAGTCCTTAAACAGACCATATTTATAATGCATATAACCTATGACCAGAATATATAAAGAACTCTTACAGCTCATTAATGGACTACCCAATTAAAAAGTAGACACAAGAAGATGATAAATAGCCATACAGCATAAGGAAAGGTATGCAGCACTAGAATCAGAAAAATACTAATCAGTACAATAACAAGATTGAAGTATACACTCATTAGGGAGATGAAATTAAAAGTTTTAAAAGAACAAATGTCAACTTAGGTGTGAACCAGTTAGAACTTTCTAATACTGCTAATGTGAATGTAAAATGACAACCATTTTGGAAAACAATATAGAAATTTCTTGTATTACTGTTAAGAACCAACAATCCTGTTCTTAAGTTTTTACTTGAGAGGAATGAAAACACATCTTCACAACAGATTTGTACATACAAGTTGAGTATCCCTTATCTGAAATTCTTGGGACCACAGTCTTTCA